CCCCCGCCCCCGGCGTCCAGTGGCTGTCCCGCTGGTGGGTGTGGCCTCCGCCTTGTTGCCCCGCCCCCATGAGAAAGCCCCGCCCCGGGCAGAGCTGCTGACGGAGCGGACCCTGCTCCCGCGGGTGGAAGGTTGACGGGCTAAAGTGCTGACAGCGCTAGCCTCGTGGGTCCGGCTACACTGCGGGGCCCGTGCTACCTGCCCCTACACAAGCCGCCGCTTGTTGCGGATCATTTTTCGGAATAGCAGGCATGCTGCTTTGCCATCCACGGCTACACTGCGGGGCCCGTGCTACCTGCCCCTACACAAGCCGCCGCTTGTTGCGGATCATTTTTCGGAATAGCAGGCATGCTGCTTTGCCATCCCGGGAAACCTCGCTGCGCCAGGGATAAGGACTGGCTTGGGCTAGCGCGTCATTTCGGAATTTGGCGCTGTGTAGACGGGCCAGATTTCAAAACGGTCTATTTTGAAATAGATTCAAACTCACAAATTGCGGATCTTATTTGGAATTTAGGGTGCTGTGGTCCCGTTAAAAGTATTTCCCCAAAAGCGCGTCTAGAGTGGCAGGGGCTTTTGCACAAAAAGTGCGTTTCCGCAAAAGCATCCGTGCCCAATCTAGACACGCTTTTGCGCAAGAAAGCGCCGATGGCTATTTTAGCCATCGGGGTTTCTTGCGCAAAAAATTAAGGTGCCTGTCTACACTGGCCCTCTTGCGCAAGTATTCTTGTGCAAGAGGGCTTATCCCTGAGCGGGAGCATCAAAGTATTTGCGCAGGAAGCACTGAATTCTTACATCAGAATGTCAGTGCTCTTGCGCAAATTCAAGCAGCCAGTGTAGACAGCTGGCAGGTTTTTGCGCAAAAACAAACGCTTTTGCGCAAAATCTTACCAGTCTAGATGCACCCTTAATGTGGATATACCCTGGGAGCCAAATGTTGCCTGATTTCACTCCCCACTCCCCTCACAACTGCCATATTGGTCTGTAACTTTAAAAACGAGCAGTCCTGTGGCGCCTTACCCCTAGTTTACACTAGGGTGTTATTTTGAAATAACTCCCCTTATTTCGAAATAATAAGTGGAGTCTCTACGCCACCAAGCCCGTTATTTCAAAATAACAGGCTGATGATTTCGAAATAATAACTCCGGCCTCCCATGAGGAATAATGCTTATTTCGAAACAGTTATTTTGAAATAGCGGTAATGTGGACACTACACTGCTGCTATTTCAAAATAACTACTCCCTAGAGACATTCAAAGTAATTGCCCCCCCCTTCCGCTTCCTGGGGCTGTTAGTCGAGGTAGCATGTCCACGTTAAGGGAGCCTGCCTTGGACTAATTTTGAGGCTTCCCCATAATGTGGTCATACTATTTCGAAAGTTATTGTGGGAGTTATTATTTCAAAATAATTTCCTAGTGTAGACATGCCCTTAAAGACTAACCAAAATGTCTGTGTCTAGATTGCACCCCTTTTCTGTAAAAGGGATGTAAATTAGACACAGCGCAATTGCAAATGAAGCGGGGATTTAACTCTTCCCCGCTTCATTTGCATAAACATGGCTGCCGCTTTTTTCCGGCTTGGGGCTTTGCTGGCAAAAAGCGCCAGTCTAGATGGGATCTTTTGGAAAATAAAGCCTTTTATCCTGAGGAATAAGGGATCTTTCAGAAAAGGCTTTATTTTCCGAAAGATCCCCGTCTAGACTGGCGCTTTTTGCCGGCAAAGCCCCGAGCCGGAAAAAAGCGGCAGCCATGTTTATGCAAATGAAACGGGGAAGATTTAACTCCCCGCTTCATTTGCAATTGCGCTGTGTCTAATTTGCATCCCTTTTACGGAAAAGGGGTGCAATCTAGACCCAGCCAATATGCATAGTATCATGAGCTTTCATGGGCAAAACCTACTTTTTCAACAATAGTGTTGAATGCATGGATTACAGGTGTGGGAGAAGATAGTCCTTCCACTTGAAATACACTAGGTGTAAAAGAGATTTCCTTTTCAGTTCACTTTCCATGCTCCAAAATCTTTCCTCACTATGGTATCGCTGGCACCAAGCGTTCAAAACCTAATGAGCACTAAACCCATGGAAGTCATGAGAGTAAAATAGTGGATAAGTTTTATTTGCCTTCTAGTTTTTAACTGTATAATACTAATCTTTTTCCAGTTTGCTCTACAACCCTGAGGGGTAGAAACTTCTGTTTAAAAAAATGACATTTTCATTACCTGACATCAGAAATTGGAACTTTCCAAAAGACACTGAATAATTCAAATATTCATGACCAAGCCAGAGAGTAAAAAATTCTGATATATTTTAATTGAATATGGTCAGATAATGATGTTATCAGAGGTTTTATTATTTATTATTTGCATTCTCCTGGTGCCTCAGGATACTAATCGTAGACCAGGACCCATTACGTGAGGAGCTCTAGAAACAACAAAAAATGGATCCCTGCCTCAAGGGATTATAAGTTTTGTAACTCAAGAGAGAACAGACATAGGAACGTTTACAGACAGGGGAGTACAGTTAAACAATGAGACAACATTTGTCAGTATGACAGGCAATGGTCTATGCACATTAGCAGCCTAAACACTGTCAAGTTTTGGTAGGCATCACGGCATGCACCATCTGCTCGCAGACATTCACAAAATGAAGAGGTTAAAATCCCTCTCGGAAATTAGGTGTCGCAAATGATTGGCTCAGCCCTACTTGTTGTCCCACAGGCCAGTCAAGTGCTTTCTTGGAGAGCAGTTCCTCATAAACTTGGTCTTCCTTTTGGGCTCTGAGTTGTGCCCTCTGTATTTTATAACATTGGTGTGAATAATCATGATTAAACGACAGTAAATCTGAGTGTGTGGGATCTAATTTCCCACTGGACTCAATTTTGCAACCTGGCACTTCACCATTGATCTTGATGCGTTCACTTGCAGAGTAAGGTACTACTGAACATAAGTCTGGAGGGCAGAATCAGACCTTATTAAATCTATTCTTCAGTCGAGACCTGCATATGCTTGGTGATGCTGTGGGATAGTGACAAATAAGTACATGCTGTCTAATCAGGATGAACAGCTCTATTAATACAATCATTTAGCATTCTCCAACAGGAGCAGGAAGAAGGAGATGTGAAGCTGGTGGCCAAAACAGTACTGGATATTTTTTTCTGCCCTTTCTATTGAACATTAAATTAGAAAATTTTATTTCAGCAGCAGCCTTAATCTTT